CAAGTTTCTCCTGATCCTCAACAATGCGCTTTCACACCCGCTTACCATGGATGAGTGGACAGACAACATTACTGTCACGTTTCTGCTCCCCAACACCACCTCACTCATCCAGCCGATGGATCAGGGACTCATCACCACCTTCAAGGTCTACTACTTGAGGCGGTTGATGACGCAGCTACAACATCAATCACGCCATACAAAACATCGTCATGTCTCGGAAAGAGGTCACACAGAGCTGCGTGAATGGCATGTGGAGGAAAGTGTGGCCTGAGTGTGTAAATGACACTTGCGGCTTCATAGATGTTGTAGCTGTACACTGTGACATCACCAACATCTTCAAGGAGGTCAGGCTTTCAGTAGGTCAATGAGGAGAATGTAGCAGAAGTCTTAGAGAGCCACTCTGAGGAGCTCAGTACCAAGGACCTTCTGTTTCAGGAACAGCAGCAGGCACTGGAGGAGTCAGCGGGTGTGGAGGGAAAACCCTGCACCCATGAGTCTGACTTTGAAGGTGTTGAGCACTGCCATTGACCAAGTGAACTCTGCCATGGATCTCCTTTCTGAGAATGACTCAAACTTCAACAGCACTTGTGGAAAAGGACATGCTGTGCTACAGGAAGCTGTACCTGCAAAAGAAGGAGGCACGCCAAACAACAATCACCTTTTTCAAGCCCGTCACAGTCACAGCTGCAAACCTCGACTTCTGGGGTCTGCAGGAATGCAGGACCCACCTCAGCTGACACCTCTCCAGTCTCACCCAAGGGCTTCACCATCTTTAAGGCCAGGATGAAGGCTATACTTCCAGTCCCTACTCTGTCTTTTGCCTCTTCAGACTCACCAGAGGCTGTGTGGGACTCAGATTCATGTCTCCACTCCATCGTAAGAGTCCCCTTAATCTCTAAAGGCCCGTCCACACGATCGAGCAGTGCCCGGCAGGCACGCGCTAAATGCTTGTTATCGAGCAAAATTGGCGGGCAAACCAGTGGAGTGCCCGCGCCCGTCGTTGAGCGAAAACATGGTCCGCCTGCCTGGTGGTTTGCTGCCGGATATGGAGCGACGACTTTAAGTACTGCAAATGTGATACGTACGTACACGTTCCCCGCTCGGTCCAGATGTCCAGTGTATAACCAAATAAGCTTATGCAATGTACATTATTGGTGTGACAATAAACGGGAGATTGTTTATGTATTATGTAATGAGGGCATTCGTGTGTGTTCTTCGTTCCTGCCGCTCTCCTCACTCTAGTCCCTTAGCTTCCTGTCTATGCATATCATAATTCTAACTTTATTCAGTGAATTTTTATGTATTACAAATCTCACCTGCAAGTAATCTTCCTTGAGTACTTCATACATGGCTTGACAAGTTGCAGGTATTATGCGAGACAAACTTTGTTTTGATATCCTCGTTCTATACTGAAGTGACGTGAAGGTGCACCCAGTTGAAAGATATATGAGCGTTGCCTCTAGACGAGCCTCTGCAGAAATACTCTCCCTCATATTGGTATTCTGTTTTTTTTATACAGTATATGGTTCCATTTTCCCTAGAAGTTTGTCAAATGTGTTGGGTCCATTCTCATGTAATCGGTGAAGTCTTGCTCATGTCCATTTTGTCCATCTTGCAGTTCACGTAAAATCGTGGCATGACTTCCCAATACTTTTCTTCGACCTAACCACTCTTTGCACCATTCACTTTTCTGCATTTAGTTCTTCTTCTTGCACATAGCAGCAGTTATTATAGTACACAACGCTATGCTCTTCGCTTTAACTGTCCGGCGATTATTCCTGCGACACACCATGGTGATTGTACCGCACCCTCCACTGCCAACCACCTACTAGCTACCGGCGCCAGAGTATGACTGCCGCCAACCACCCCCGTGTGTACAACAACACACAGGCTTTGCCCGGTAAACGGGCAAAGCCCGCCGGGCACTGCTCGATCGTGTGGACGGGGCTTAAGAGAGCATGTGATGACGACCAGACTTGTTCATAATAATGTGGTGAGTGTTGTTTAATTGTGTTGTAGTGCATAGTATTCTATAAATACTTTTATTCGGAGATACGTGTGGATGTCAGACGAGTCAAGAACCCATCCTATTGAATCCTGCGCTATAATACTCCCAGTCTTTGATATTTCGACCTGCAATGGGTGTTCAGGAACTTAACCCCATCGTAAATAGGGGGATAGTGAAGGTATACAATTAATTGTTAGCCATCAGATGCTAATTTCCAGTTGGGTTCTTTATTTATTTTGTTAAAGAATGTAGCTGATTTAAAGATTTAAAGAAATTAAAAAAATTAAGTCAACAAGTTTAGTTCAAGGTTTAGTGTTCCCTGTTGTCATACCGATAAAGCAGGTCAGAACTCTTTTAAATATTGAGGAAACTATTGTATTTATTATCAAATTGGCCCAACAATCTTGTTACGTTGCATTCCTTTGCTAATTTTCAGTGAAATCAATTTATGTTTGTTCACATATTGTATACACAAATTTTCATGTTCCCAGAGACTCCAATTCATCAAAGTAGAATGAATAGACGAACCTCTCTGATGTAGTCTCCGACTTTGTACTGTACTCCCACGAGGGGATGGTGTGGCATTCCTCACTGATAGCAATACCGCAACACTTATTACCTGTCCAGAGTACAAACTGTAGGTATTGTGGGGTACGAGATGTTTGGTTCACACTCAGGATGGGGTGGAGAAAGGAAACTCACAATGTGCTCTCTGTATACATATTGTATTGGATGTACAATGCAGCTGGGGGTTAGCAGCGTGAGTCCAAGCGTGATGTAGAGAGAGCTGGTTGGTGAGGGTGCTCAGAGGAGGACCAGCTTGTGGGTGGCCATGGTCGCCGGCGGGAACGAGGGTCGCCAGGCAGGCAGGAGGAGGAGGAGGAGGAGGTGTTGCTTGCTGGTAGGTGTAGGTAGAAAGAGAGGTAGGTCACCACGAGGTCAGGTCTTATATAGCGGAGGTAGGCGTGGCTTAATAGTTGACCTCCGTCATGTAAGGCGACGCTGGTTGACCTAGACTACGAGGCATACACTGGGGAATTCGTGGGGTCGGCTACTGAGCGACAAACAGCATTTGTAGGGGAGGAATCCACTACAATACTCCCCCTTCCCTCCAGGCGGTGTAGGAAACTTGTTGTCTGCAGGGTTGCATGGCACATGTGAGGCAGAACGGGCGGTGCATGCCACATGTGAGACATAACGGCGAGGGCGTGGATGAGCCGGCCGCTAGGGGGGGCGGCAACTCTGTCTAGATACACGAGATCTGTGGGAGAAAAGAGGGTTGTGGAGGCGATGAATGTTGTGCTTTCCTCGCGACAGGTACAGAGTCGTCAGATGCGCCTGCTGGGGTGTGTGGGCCTGGATCAGGAGCAGGGGCTGCGTCAGGAAGTGTGTCCATGACAGCAGCAGGGTGCATGACAGCAGCAGGGTCCACGACAGTAGAGTACCTGAGGGGAAAAAAAAAGGTGTGTGGGGCCGCGTCGGGAGCAGGGACTGCCAGGCAGGAGCGGAGGAGGGTCCGCATCAGGAGGAGGGTCCAGGACAGTGGCAGGGGTACTGCTGGGCCGGGGGCGGCGTCTGAGGCAGGACGGGTGTGCTGGGGTCGGTAGAACGTGGTGCTTGGGGCAGGAAGAGGAGCTGGTGTCTGCTTAGAGAAGCAGAGCTGCTCTAGGGTGTCTAACCTGCGGTGTAGAGACAGTAGCTGTAGAGCCGATGAGAGCTGCCTCTGTGTGGATAAGCCAGTCTTCCATGTTGCTTGAAGACTGGGAGAGTGATCGGTTTCTCCTCCATCCTGTGTGAGTGCGAATCTCGGGGGGTCACCATTTGTGGGGTACGAGATGTTTGGATCACACTCAGGATGGGATGGAGAAAGGAAACTCACAATGTGCTCTCTGTATACATATTGTATTGGATGTACAATGCAGCTGGGGGTTAGCAGCGTGAGTCCAAGCGTGATGTAGAGAGAGCTGGTCGCCGGCGGGAACGAGGGCCGCCAGGCAGGAGGAAGTGTTGCTTGCTGGTTGGTGTAGGTAGAAAGAGAGGCAGGTCAACACGAGGTCAGGTCTTATATAGCGGAGGTAGGCGTGGCTTAATAGTTGACCTCCGTCATGTAAGGCGGCGCTGGTTGACTTTTTTTTTTTTTAGGTTAAGGTGGGGAAAGGATGGAAGGCATGCTAGGGCCCAAGGCACAGCCAGACATGAGGGATGGAGAAGTCACAACATATGGTCGTGGGGGGAAAGGTTGGAAAAGAAGTTTAGTGAGTTAAACAGAGGGGGACGATACCCCTTGTTTTACATATTAGAGAGTTTTTTGCCTAACTAAGCTAACCTAGGATTTAGGATGAGGTTGTACAATGGTTATTTTAGTAGACAATGACTAGATTTATTTTACAATTACAAGTTTATTAAAATCTTATACTGTATTACGTTATGGACTCACTTGATTGTGACTTGTTAAATGTGAATTTATATCATCTAATTTTTAATCTAAGGTGGAACACTGTGGCGGACATAGATGGGTCGCGGGTTGGGTTGTTGTAGTGCGGGCAGACTCCGCGCTGGTTGACCTAGACCACGAGGCATACACTAGGGAATTCGTGGGGTCGGCTACTCAGCGACAAACAGCGTTTGTAGGGGAGGAATCCACTACAGTATCAGTCAAACTTACCATCCTTACCTAGTTACAAGGCACAGTACTACTGCTAACTCACGTTTAACATAAAAAGTACCCTAGACCTCGCAGTGCTTCTCTCATACCTGTATTATCAAACCAATTTTTCTCCTATGGGAGATTTCTCATCCTCATGCTTACACACACACACTATAGGCAACTGCAACTGTTATCCCTTCTCATAAACTGTACACCAGGTAAAGCAGTTGCCAGCTGCTAAAAATAGTATCACACTCAGAGGAAAAGATTCTCCATTCACTCGTATAACTTCCCATCACCAGTTGGTGGGTGTATACATATATATATGCACAAGTTATGTGCCCACCAACCCAGAAACCTCACTAGTGCAGCAACAACAGTAAGTGTACTATCATTACGGTTGCGAGTGAGGGAGGTAGTAAGAGAGTGGAGGAGTGAGCGAGTGAATGTTGTAATGCTCACACCAGTGATAACTGGACAAGGATTCCCATAAGCAACTTCTCTTGAGTACAGGCAATGTCCGTATTTGAAGTACAGGTAGTATAATTGCTTGTTGACTCTTGAAGACAGTACAATACTGATTTGGTGACGAATGAATGAATACACGAAAATGCGGCTTGGTAACTCTTGAAGACATCAAATATTGGGTTGGTGACTTGAATGAATACACGAAAATGCGGCTTGGTGACTCATGAAGACATAAAATAGTGGGTTGGTGACTTGAATGAATCATTACACGAAAATGTTGGCTTGGTGACTCTTGAAGACATCAAATATTGGGTTGGTAACTTTGTGGTACAACAGTAATGCGCGTCACTCTCCACGTACTGTATGTCACGAGTTTCACCAGTCCTGGCACGTGAGAAGGGTGTTGTAACTTGCTATCCTTGGTGTTCCTCACTACCAAACATCAAAGGTTTCCTCCAGGTACTCCGGTTTTCTCCTGTACTAACACTGGTCATTAAAATTCATAACAAAGTAAAAACAAATAAAAAAGATCGAACCAACAGCTCTAATGACTAGTAAGCTAGTAAGTGGTGGGTGAAGTTATAAATTTAAGATTATTTAAAATGAATACGTTGACTACCAAGCTTGAGAACACGTTGACTAGTATTGCGCAGTTAATCTAAGAATGTTTGTTCGTCAGTACGCACTCAACGGTGGCTGACTCACTTCATCACACATTATGGCATTGGTTACGTTGCTCTTCAGGACATTCTATGACAATGATTTGGTGATTCGGGGGTAATACACTCAGATTTTGGCTTGATGATAAGCAAAAACAATAAAGTTTATTCTTGGTGACTTATGACAGTAAAGCATAAATTTAGTGAGTCATGGGAACATAAAACGCTGGCCTGGTGATTTGAGAAAAAGATACAAATCGTGAATTTTGTGAGTCGTGAACACAAACTGGAACTTTGAGTCATGAGAACCCACCATGGCGTAATCTTGGTGAGTCCTAGTGACCAGTCAATGAAGTTTGTGCAAATGAAACGACTCGAATAATAAACTTATATCGAACCAGCCACAAAAATGACGGAACACAACGATATACGACATCTTTCTGAGGACTGTCAGAGATTCGTAAGTTAAATCTAATGCACGTACTGTATAAGTGTTCCATTTTTCACTAATGATACAAAATGGTGCTCTAAAAAGCCGTAATAAGACACGTTTTATCATTCACAGTAGAGACGAATGCAGTTAGGTGCTGAATGTGAATGTTCTCTGGCACTGTTTGTCAATTGGCAAAATCTTCTTATGTTTGGCATCAGTAATCAGCTGGTCTTTAGTGTGTAAGACTCATTTCCCCGTAGGAACAACCTATGAGATCATCATAACTTATGTGACGTCCTGCATGACATTACAGATGCGAGCCTCATCACTGGTGGTGGTGGTGGTCCTGACGGCGGTGGCTGTAGAAGATGTGAAGCCAGAGGAGCTATCCAAGGTTTTAGTGGTCCCAGAAGTCTCAGAAGTGAAATCTCCTGCAGGTAACTCCACCGACCGTGATCGGTTTATCTTCGGGCAGTACTCGACGACGACTTATACGAATGTGGTGATGGTCACCTCCACAGTGTTCTTCTCCTGTCTGTCTGGGACCTCTGCTGCTGTCTGTACTGGGCGACGCAGGAAGAAGGACTTACGGAGGTTTATGTCTATTGATGAACTTCCTGAATATGATAAAAGAAGGTAAGTATCAATGATGGGATACATTTATTAGGGGGATGAGAACCCCCCCCCCCAAAAAAAATAAAAAATAAAGTAGCAAGAAATGTAAAGAGATTGGAAAGAGAAATCTTATACAAGTGACAATAAATGTGAGAGGAAAATATGCAAGTGATAGTCAGGCGTAAATTATATTTTTAATTCACGTATTTATTACAATCATTAAGTCGATATCATCTTTCCCAACAGTTTTGATCTGGAGAGCAGCCACGACGAAGACGCGAACCACGAGGATAAACAGGTAGCTTATGAAAACCCAGAGAGTGCGTCGGCACAAACCGACACCAAGTTGTTCTTCCAGGTATGGACCACCACTCGCACCACAACTACCGTCACCTTGCTCTTCACAGACACCAATACCACCATCCGTCTCTCCTACTTCTGCCAAGTGGGACAGCAGCAGCTCCCTACCTTCAACTGTGGGGGAGCTTAGTGAGGTGAATAGGTTGCCAGGAGGGATCTATTAAGAACTAACTATACCTAGAAAGATTTAGAAAAGTTTATAAAGGCATAGCAAATCTGCTTTAGACTTTGTAAGACCCAATAATGCCTGTCTATGGTCTAGTGTCCCCACCTGGTGACGTCTGACCTGCCCAACTTGAACCTTTGTAGATATTGTACATGAGCAAGTGAGTCCAAACAAATATACTTATATGAGCTTCTAAAGATAGTTAGTTTCATTCATGTCTTCATTAACGTTTTACGGTCATTTACCTTAGCCTTTGCGTGGATTAGCCGCGGTTACCTGGTGACACCTTTCCATGTTACATGATCTCTTACAACAATTTCCATTGTCAGGTTCTTAACTCAAATGCCATATCTAACAATGTCTCCCCATGTTATTCTTGGTCTACGACGCCTGCCCCCCTCCATTTTAGGCTCGTGCACCTCTTGACCCCAACATGTCTCATCAATTTTCTCCATTTGCGCGAATCATCTCGGCCTACCTTTACGCAGAACTTCGCCAATACTCTCTATTTCATTCCCAATGGGACCCTGTAAGCACAGACATCGAAGGACCCTGTAAATACACAAATCAAGCAACCCTATAAACATATAAATCCAGGGACTATATGAACACAAACTTCAAACACCTGTATATGCAAACAATAAGGGAATCTATAAACATAAACACCAAGGGACTTTGTAAACATACTGTGGCCACGCACTTGCCAATATCGAGTCTGAGACATGCCAGAACTCTACCGGTTACAAATCTACGTTCAAAGAGCTGCTGGGTGTAAGAGGAGGAGAACAGAGCGTTCTCCAAGCAGTAACAACAGTCAAGAGATCTTTTTCTAAAGTGTAATATTGAATCAGTATCTGTGGTTTAATAGTTAGCAGGCTAGCCTAGTAAACAAGTGATCCCTCGTTCGATTCTCGGGCAATGTGGAACTATAGGCAAGGTTTCTACGCCAATTGGCTGTCTGTCCAGCAGTAGCTGAGATCCTGGATGTTAATCGATCTGCGGATCATATTCTGGGGCAATTGTCAGCCAGCGCAGCTGGCGGATTGTCCAGTCTACTTTGGTTATTTCTTGACATTGGATTATATAGCTTCTACACCTTAAACTATGAGAGATAGAACTCTCTGTTCGTGGGTCACACGCGCACTCAGCTCGGCTTCCTTCGCGACCAACAAGGAAAATGTCCATCAGGAAAAAATTAATACAATATTTCGAGTTTGAGGAGGATAAAAGCAACAATTATGAGAGAGCAGGAAAGACTAGAAGACAAATTTGAAGGTACAGACCCAATGCTCCTCCGATGTTGTGGCATATAAATAGAGGTATATTGACCAGCAACTGTGCCAATCTCTTCTTCAGGGTGACCATAACAGTAAGTAAGGGCTTGTGGTCCCTGCGAGGCTGAGGTAGAGCTTTGAGCTGGCAGAGTGATAAGTTGATGGCGAGAGACCGGTGAGGGCTGAGGGTAGAGGAAGTGCGAGGTCAACAACAGTGTGTTCTCGAGAAACTTACATCTTATGAAGTAGTTCAGTCTCATGTCGTCCTAATCAACGCTTGTGAGATACTCTTTTAATAAATTAAACTAAAAAAATGGCGATTGTACAGACGGAAGGTGATGTGGTGGTACACTTGTTATATGTACATTACAAAGGAAGTGTAAAGTGACTTATTCAGTCTCAAACTCAAAGAAAGTATTGAAAATGGCGTCCGTCCTGATCAATTCAGATGTAAGATTTACTGTTGACGAAAATGTTTCAACAACCAAGACTTCATTGTCATGTCTCAATTATCTCATTGAAAAATATGACCACCAGTTTAAAAGTGTATAAAAAAATCACTTGTGTTCATGAGGATTCATCGATTAGAATTACTATAGTTATTTTCTCGGTCGTTTTAAGTTCCACGGGGTAGGCCTATTCAGCCGTGAAACATAGACCCAAAAGTACCGAGCATGAATAATGTTAACACAGCAAAAGCCTGTAGAGAGGTAGTGAGGAGGCAACAGGCATACCTGATACATTTATTATTCATTGTATAAAACATTGATATAGCTTATATTTAATTAGTAGCGGTACGAATAATGTATAACACATATTCCTTGCAAAATAATTTGACTTTAATGGTTCAGTTAGCATTCTGGTGAACCCTTTAGCTGACGCTGGGATGTAAGATAGTGCCTGTTATGAGGTTGGCCAAAATCTTATACTCTACTACTGTACTGTATATGACACTGCCCTAGGCAACGTGCACCTCACAACCAAATTTCAACTCTCCTCAAAACTGTGGAAACTCATAAGGAACATACACACAAACACACATTTACAATATATATATATATATATATATATATATATATATATATATATATATATATATATATATATATATATATATATATATATATATATATAAGAACATAAGAAGAGTCTGCAATAGGCCGGTTGGCCTGTGCATGGCAGCTCCTGTCGAGAGTTACTACCACTCTCTATCATCCATGAATCTATCTAGCCTCCTTTTGAAACTTTCCAGAGTTCCAGCACTTACTACAAAGTTGCTAAGCTTGTTCCACTCGTCCACCACCCTATTTGTGAACCAGTTTCTTCCTATCTCCCTCCTAAACCTAAACTTATCCAACTTGAATCCGTTGCTCCGAGTCCTATCCTGCTCGGATATTATAAGAACTTTATCTATATCGCCTTTATTGATTCCTTTCACCCACTTAAATACTTCTATCATATCTCCCCGCACTTTTTGTCTTTCTAGGTAATGCAAGTTAAGTTTCTTTAACCTATCCTGATATGGAAGGTTTCTAAGTCCCGGAATCATTTTTGTCATTCTTCGCTGCACCGACTCTAGTGAATTTATATCCATTCTATATTTCCACGTTTTCTTTTCATTGTGGATCTACGTGATATATATATATATATATATATATATATATATATATATATATATATATATATATATATATATATATATATATATATATATATATATATATAACGTGGATAAGATAAATCTTGATAAAATCACACAGGGAAAAGGGAAACAATGGAGCACCTTAGCTTTCGTCTTTATTCCAAACTTCTTCAGAGGCAACTGGATTACATGGAATTACATGGACAGAGAGAGGCTTAAGTACACAGGTAAAACAGCTTTGAAGTGTACACATCATCATGTGTCACAGAAAGACTTCTGGTTGAAGCTAGTTTGATTAGAGAATTGAATTCTGTAAACCTTAGTGATGGTCAGTACAAAATTGATAATATGTTACACAAATTTATTTGTCAGTGGCCCAAGATTAAAAATGCCTTTAAAGCATTGGAGTTAGATGTAGGATAGATGATTAGTGGGTCCCATATTTTTTACCTGACTTAACTTGACTAGTGACGTCGCCCTTTCTCTTAAGCTCCTTTGCCTGTGTGGCGGATTATTGGATGTCATGTTTATGACCTGACCTCATGTTTAGTAAGGTCACCCAGTGTACTTAAGCCTCTCTCTGTCCATGTAATTCAGTTGCCTCTGAAGTTGTCTTGAATAAAGACGATAGCTAAGATGCTCCATTGTTTCCCTTTTCCCTGTATGATTTTATCAATATATATATATATATATATATATATATATATATATATATATATATATATATATATATATATATATATATATATATATATATATATATATATATATATCAAGTGGCTCAGCCATGTTAATATTGTTATTATTATCGACTCTGTATCTCTATTTTTCTGGCTATCAATATCATTACCACAGGTGTAATTGGTTTTACAGATGCAAGTCGCAACACTGGGGCTCGTGGTGGTGGTGTGCCTGACAGCAGTGGCTGCCGAGGCTGTGAACGAGAAGATGCCCGAACATGGGGTGGAGTCATCAGATATTACTGCCAAACACTCCCCAGTCGATGAAAAGGGAGAAAAGTTCTTCTTGGGAGGGGTTTCGACGGCGACATACACTGATGTGGTGATGGTTACTTCCACAGTTTTCTTCTCCTGCCTTTCTGGCACCTCAGCAGCTGTTTGTGATGGCCGACGCAGGAAAAGGTCTTTACGATCATTCGTCAAATTAGAAGAAGATGAAAGTAGGTGAGTGATCTTTAATGATTATTTATTTCAGGGTTTTATAATAAAATATCTTTCCGTTCACGGGGAGTGTCAGGGATGTTAGCCGCGCGAGAAACATCCTCCTGACATATTTACTAGTGATATATATATATATATATATATATATATATATGTGTGTGTGTGTGTGTGTGTGTGTATCTTTGTTGACTGAACTGCTATTCCTCACAGCTCTCCCCTAGCGAGCAGTCAAGACGAAGACTTAATTGGCGAGGATCTCAGCCAAGCCGAGGAGGAAAATAAGTCCTCCAAGGATGAAGAAAGGATACTTGGCTTCAACATATGGACCACGTCTCGCATCACTTCCACCGTCACTATGCTGTACACAGACACCAACACCACCATCCGCCTCTCTTACTTTTGCCAGGCGGGACAGCAGCAGCTCCCTACCTTCAACTGTGTTGGTGCTAAATAATGTGTAGGTGTTGAGGTGCACTCGTCGCCACCCAACTACCTGCCAACACCTAACTGCTCTGAGTGGTCCCACTGATGACAGATCTGAGTAACTTAGTGTTTTTATTTACTGTACATGAGGAAGTCAGTCCAAGATGATTATATATTAAGAGCTACTGTAGAGGCTGAGTTTTATTTATGTCCTTAATGTACAGTTGCGGAAATGTATTCGTACACCCCCTGTGGTAACCCGTGCTCCGTATCTTTGCTTTCTAAACTTCCCTCTTATGGTTCTCTCCCACTTTGTTCTCTAATTTCTAGCTTCCTTGAGAACTGATCCATGGCAATTGTTGTTAAGGGATCGACCTCTCGCTCTTTCTCTACCAATAGTGGTGTCTCAGAGGGTTCGGTTCTTTCACCTACTATCTTCCTTCTTTTTATCAATGAATTACTTCACACTACGACTAAGTCTATCCATTCTTATGCTGATAATTCTACTCTTCGCTCTTCTTCACATTTTTCCTTCCCCCTAATTCTCAAACTAGATTGGTTTCTAGAGCTGATATCATTTCCTCTATCACTGCGGATCTGTGCAGCATCTCCGAATGTAGAGGTAGACAACTGGTTAAATTCAATAGTAATAAAACTCAGTGTTTACCAATTACACCTTCCAAATTAGATGATCTCCCACCAATCACATTTCAGGACGCAATATTCTGCCAAGTTCTAAAATAGATATGCTAGGTCTCACCATTTCCTCTTATATGTCATGGAAGCCACACATCCACAACATTGCTAAAGCTGCCTCCCGAAAGCTGGGAATGCTGTACAGATGCCGCAGCTACTTCACTCCTGAGTAGTTGCTTCAAGTTTATAAGGGATTCATTCGTCCTAACTTGGTGTACTGCTCTCATATCTGGGGTGGCTCTTCTTCTGTCCAACTGTTAGATAGGGTGGAATCAAAGGCATTTCGTCTTATTGACTCTCCTCCTTTAGTTGATAATCTTTTTTCCTTTTCTCTTCGCCGCAATGTTGCTTCACTCTCTCTCTTTTACATGTACTTTAACGGACAATGTTCGGTGGATTTGGCATCCTGTGTACAGCCGGCAAGACCGTGGGTTCGTAACACTCAACTTGCCCACGGTGCCCACCGTTTCTGTGTGGATTTCGGTCACACTAGAATAACCCGTTATAGTACATCCTTCTTTCCTCACACAGCCAAACTATGGAATGCTCTGCTTTCTTCTGTGTTTCCATACTCATACAATCTCTCTCACTTTAAAAAAGCTGGTTTTCTGGCATCTTCGTGGTTGGGTCGATGACCTGTGCCCGGGTGGGCTATTCCCCGTGTTACGAACCTCTCCACCAATTGTCATGATCTACCTACCCAGCACCACGAGCAACGCCATCTAGGGACGAGACACGAGTATGACTCGTCTTAGTTACCACTCCGGGGTTTCCCTTCTCCATATCCTGGTTGTTGCGTCACCTCCTCCAAGTCTTCTTTGTCAGCTCGAGTTCGAGGAGAGTTGACTTCACTCTGGGAAGTGACCACAGGATCACCTATCCTGGAAACCTACGGCACAGTGACTACCTACCACCGTCTTCTACAATACTCAGCCTTGCTCGTCAGCCATCTCAGCTCCGCACTTAAGTATTTGTAATCTTATATTGCCTCCCCCACGTCCACTTGCTTCAAAATTGTTCATGTTGTATAAATATGTATATACTGTTAATGTTTAGGTTAAGTATGGTTAAGGGTAAATTATAGAAAGCTGAATATTTTGTTAAGGAATTTATGGTACTTTATTATACACAACAAAAACTCGCATCATTTGTCTACCCTTTTATAGTCCGATTGTCTGTGTTTTTTTTTGCTGTTGCATGTTGGGATCTGGGTAGACTTTTAACTATATTCTAAATCCCCAACTCGTAACACCCGTAAACAAAATAATAATAATAATAATCAGCAACGTCGCAGTTGTAGTATCACTGTTTTGATATTGGTCGCGTAACGGTGGACGTGATTGATGAATAGGTTGCTATTGATCATTTAGGTTGGCGGTTTGGAGCCATTTGGAGACAAAGGTTACCACAGGGGGTGTAGGAACATTTCCGCAACTGTACCTTCTGACTCACTCTTATGAGTTATGAGTCATGGGTAGCGGTATCATACGAGCACCACCATAAGACGGCGTAGTGAACATAAGAATGGAGGAAACTGCAGTGAGCATATTGGCCCATATCGCTCATATATCTGTTCAACCTAAATTTGAGGGTTCCCAGTGAGCTCGCGTTGATGATAGTTTGGTAATTTGCTCCACTCGTCCACAACTCTATTTCCAACCAATGTTTACCTTTCTAACGCCTAAATCTAAAATTGTCCCCTTTAAAATCATTGTTACGCGTTCGCTTTTGGTTAGTTGGTTTACGTACCTTTGTCATGTCACATTTCTTTAGCCTCGACTTCCATTAATTTATACAATCGATCATATCGCCCCTCACTTTACATCTCTCGATGGAGTGGAAATTCAGGTGTTTTAATGTCAACATACATACTCGAGGTTCCTACTGCCCGGGATATGCTTTACCATTCTCCCCTGAATGCTGTCTTGGGAATCAATATCCATTCTGTAGTACAGTGACCAGAACTGAGCTGCGTAACCCAAACATCTTGTTAGCCTTGTTTCGAACATTATATACAATGCTGTCTTGGTTTAAGGTTCCTACTTATCATTACACCTAAATCTTTCTCGCAGTCTGGGGTTGTTTACACCACCAACCTGCGGAGTTCATGCTTGCTTTCATGACTCCTACATTAAGGACTCGAGTACCTGAAGGGTCATGAGTTTTGTCAGCAAGTTACATATAGTGACAGGAGGATGAGTGAGTGGGGGGAAAGTTCCCGGTACAATTCATCTGTTTATGGCAAAGCGTGGCAGGTCCCTCATAATGTAAAGTGCCAGGCCCGTCTCTAGGAGGAGGGATATCTGATTAGAGAGGGAAGAGGTGTTGGTAACGGCTGGGGACCTGTAGGAGGAGGTCATTGGGCAAGTGAGGATGTAGTTGAGAGAGTGTGTGAGAGTTGAGTTGTTCACAAAGATTACAAATAGCACATGTTAAGTAATTTTGACTTTAATCACCCTTGCCTACTGAGCTACGGCGTGCACCCTGGCTCTCAATGTAGTTGTTGTGTTTGTGGGTTGTGAGGGGCATAGCGTGGCTGAGTGAAAACTGTTAAACTCCACTGACGGGCCATGTGATAAATCATGTGAGACCTGATAACTCTCGATCATGTCACATCTTTCTGTAAAATTAGGCTACGTTTACGCAAAATATTAGGTGCCTATCTGATATAATTTTTAGTGTATGGAAATTATTCAGGGTTCTCGAATAAAAAAAATCACTATAATATACATACATACTCAAGTGTGTTTACAAATGGTACCCCCACTCCCCTCCCTCATCATCCTCTACATGTATTGGTGGTAGTGGTGATGGTGGTGTCATTTGTGGTGGTTGTGGTGATGGTGTTGGTTGTGGTGATAGTGGTGATGGTGTTGGTTGTGGTAATGGTGGTGATGGTAGTGATGGTGTTGGTGGTGGTGTTGTCTTGTTATCGTTGTTGTTATTGCCATCAGGATCCACAAGGTCCTACACACGTCTCCTGTAACCCATCAGATCAGGGCAGAGTGTGGCATCTTACTGGCCTACCACCCATACGCAGAGGCAGCTTGAGCTTCCCCATATAGGAAAACCAATCAGCTATTGTGCCCCCATCAACGCCTCCCCCTCTCTATGGGGAAAAGACGCTAGATATTCGTCCCATTAGCGCTCGACGGGGAAAAGGTGGCGTTTATTCCCCCATACACTCACTCTATAGGGAAAAGGTACAAGATTTTTCGCCTAGAGAGGCCATAGGCTGGCTATAAATAGGGAGTCTGTCTACAGTTGACTACACTGTATTGCTCTTGCAGCAGCAACAGTAAGTGAAGTAGACAGGTCTTACTAACTTGTGTCAGAGGAGGTGGTGGACTCACGCTTCTCTCTAAAGTAACAGTGATTTTTATGCTCCCATCACAGACTATAGTGCTATCACTGAGTCCGCGTGTCTGTGCTTCCCTGCGAAACTTGTACCTGGTCTGTAATTTGGGAAAGCCCTTTGTGGATCACTATGATGTTGGAGTGTTTTTTTTTTACTAAGAACAACTCAACCGCATTTAATAATCAGCAATTACTCCCAATTTCATGTATGCCAGAGTCATGGCCCCTGTTCCACTGAGAGAGCTTGTCGAGATCAGACATCATCTCATGAGACAGTCTAAATTTTACATCATCTTTTGCTTCATCTTGAGTCTTAGTTGTTGACTATCAGGCTGAGGACTGTATTCAGATTCTCTCTTGTCTTATTTCTCTATTTTGCTATTAGTCCGTCTCTCCTATTATCTATTTTGATCTGTATATCTGTTTACATCTCCTTAGTCGCTTCTTAACGTGAGGCAGACACCTAAGTTATAAGACATACCAAGAAACTAGATATGCAGGAAGATGTGACATTTTATTGCCTCTCTTAATATCCTAAAATAATGAATTTCTCAGCGACACTTTCCGCGATGAAAAAAATTAATAAAAAATAAATTCGACCTCCTTATACCTCGAATTATGTAATTAGAGGTCGGTATGGCTATTTACAGTGTATGTGTCTTCTTGTGTGTGTAGTTCATGTGTTGTCATAGACTCTTAGTAGTAATCCCACACAATAACTAAACTTATATTGTAGCCAAACTTCAACCAAAGATTCTTTATACACACTTGATGATTCCTACTGCCTATGTTCTTGATTGGGGCGAGGGGCAGCCATTCCATTAATCCTTCAAGTCGTTTTCGTAACTGGTGATGGTCATAAAGGTTTAATTTCACTTTAGCATTACATAAGACTTAGTTAACATCTCTTAACTTGTCATTTATTCCCCGATTTACCTTACTGCTACCTGCCTACCACGCCTAGGGTTAGAGGTGGTCTCTGGGGCTTCATGCTCAGAATATTTACCCAAAATTTCATTACTCACCATTTACCCATTATTTTTTTCCTAATCCCTTTACTCCTCCTTCAGATGAGAGGCGCGAGGCTGTGGCTAGCAGTGGTGGCAGTGGCGATGGCGGTGGCAGCCGCGCAAGAGACACAGCAGCCGGATCGACTCCCCGTGGCCCTCGTCGCATTGTCAGATGAGGGCGGAGTGGAGCAGCCGTTGACTTCTGCAGAGGAGAAAAACAAATTCTTGTTCGGGTCGTACTCCTCCACCGTCTATACCGTGGTGAGCGCGTCCACCTCAACCGTGTTCTACTCGTGTAACTCCGGCACCGATGGAGACGTCGTCTGCAGCGGCCGACGCAAGAGGAAGCAGCTGGGCCTTAACCGAGAACTCAATCAAAAGGACGAAGACTTGTAAGGACAAGAGGGAAAAGAGGGGAAATATTAGTCAGAGAGAGAGAGAGAGAGAGAGAGAGAGCCAGCCATTGTCAAAGATAGTGAAAAGGGTTGAACGTGATAAGGAGAGAGAGTTGATATTATATCATCATTCGCTACTATAAAAAATAAATGACACACACACACACACACACACAAATTCAATAAAACATTGTCTTGTGAGATTTGGTTTAGGGATAAATTATTTAGTAGCATATTTCCTGGAAGAATATTGTATGATAAAGAAAATTAACGTGATTTTTGTGTTGACAGAGTTGACCTGCAGGACAGCCTGGGAGCGGACACGTTGAATGAGGACGAGGAAGAGAACAAGGCTGTGTCAGGGGCGAGCGATAAGTTTGCCTTCACCGTGTGGACGACCAGCAAAACCACTACTTCCATTACCGTCTTCTACACCAACACCGCCACTACTGTCAGAGTCTCCTACTACTGCGTCGCCGGGTTGATGAGTGTTGCCGACTTCCCCTGTGCCGGATAATACTGGTAGCTGTTTGATGAACGTGCGTCCAGGAGGGAATGGAAGTAATTTTTACGACGACCATTGTCTTTCTGGAGTTGCCTACTGACCTGTAGCCTATGTAGATATTGTACATGTGAGAATGAGTCCAAACAAATATATTTATCTTTAAGCTTGTGAGTACACCAATATTTTATTTATTTTTAATCTATTTCATCCTCTCATTAATGTTTCAATACTCCACCCTGGTAAATCACCATGTACCATACCCTGTTGGTCCCTGTCGGAGTAAACCTTTGCTGGTTAGACTCAAGCTGAATCTCAGAGTGGAGGGACACTAGACCCGAATTCAGAACGCTGGTTTGAAACCCCATGAAGGTTGAAGATTGCTGGTATTCAGAACGCTGGCTTGACCCAACACAAAGATTCAAACCGGGTTTGAGATCGGATTTGGAAGCAGGTTTAGCAGTCGATCCGTCATTCAAGATAGCAATTCAATATGAATTTTGACAGAGCGCACTTTTCGGCGATATCGTCAAATTGGAAATTTTGTAGAGAGAAGACTGGTGGTAAATAGGCAGAATCCTATCAATTTTTATGACACGCACTTCAGACAACGATATAGGTTCAGCAAGGAGATTTCCTTAATATTTTCCGTGATATGGAGCAACTACTTGAGATACCTGTTGGCTATGGTTCACCTCTACCTCCCATTCATCAGCTGATGATTGCTTTGAGATTCTTCGCAAAGAATAGTTTCCAGGTAAGAAAGATTCTGGTAACTGAATAAGTTTTGGTAATGTGTTACAACACTTTAGTGTATAGGGTCCATGAAGATCAAGCGGGTAAGTGTAAAAAACACTGACGCTTCTTTATTTTGAGTGTTTTTCTTTATAACTAATTTGATGTATTATCAATATAAATGAATCAATGCTGAGTGGATTTTAATTTTAACGTATTAATGAAAAAGTATTTTCTTCACATTACTAAAAACGGGAAATGTGGGGTTAAAAGAACAGAAAGAAACACAACCTAACCAAACCTAGCCAGTTTATACACCCTGCATTGATTCATCTTGCTTTGGTTATGAGATCTGTCCCGGATTATATCTACATTTTGTATGTACCGGGTAATTGTTCTTCCTCTATGAATTTCTTTGTTATCATATAACACAGCCACGTTATAACATCAGTAACAAATCATTATAACTTGATTGTAATTATAGAAACAAAAGTAGCTTTTGATGTGCAAGGAGCGATTTCTCCTCCTCCATAAAAACTCGTTGAGTCTAGTTGCTGCCATAATCTTGTAAACATTACTCTCGATGGTCATTGGCTGTCGTAATGGTGTTAATGAAACGTGATTGGCTGGAATTTCAGTGTTCGAATCCTTGCTCGGAACTGAAGAAAATGCAACAGATTACCTGATCCGGGGTTCAAGCCGATGTTCTGAATATGAGTAATGCACTGCAGGATATCTCCAATAGAAGAATCTCGATTCGCAAGCCTGAGCCGAGCTCAAATCTCAGGCTTAAACCAGAAATGAACACCTTAGTAGTTCGGGATCCAATAGTTCGGCACATTTTATGGTTTGGCACGATTTGTTTATGGTGTCCAATGGTTGTTATGTTTGGTTGGGTAAGTTAGGTTTGGGAAATTAGCTAGATTAAGTTATGTTATTTTCGGTTAAGTGTGGAAATTGGTCAGGTTAAATTAGGTCTGGCTGGTTCGTTTTGCCAGTTCAAGATTAATGCGGATTATTGCAGCAGCTATGAAGAAAAAGGCTCTCTCCAATCTGATTTCAACAATTATCCATCAGTTAAGTCTTTCCGCAATTTGGTTAAGAAAAGATAACATATCTTATGATACACTATTTTAATATGTGGTCTCAGTATCTCTCAGGTGTACACAGGTATATAACATTAATAACTAACAGGTGGATGATGAGGAACGAGGATTACAGGTGTGTTATGGTGAGAGGGGATTGTAAGTGAGGAAGGGAGGGAGAGAGGGGGTTATAGGGAGGGAGGGAGGGAGGGTAGAGGGAGGGAGGGTATAGGGAGGGGGGAGGATAGGTGAAGAAGGAAGGAGGAGGGGAGTACAGGTGTGGGGTGGGGAGGCAGGAGGCGCTAAGCACCAATACATGATATGGGGGGTAAGTTCAGGCCGCCAGCAGCACAGTAGAAGGAGATTCTGACAGTAGTGCTGGTGTTGGTGTAGAAGACGGTAACTGAGGTGGTAACGGCGGTGGTGGTCCACAACTGGATGCCCAGAAACTTCTCCGCATGACCCTCCTCGCCCACGCCGCCCGTATCTCTCTCCTTACCGTCTACATTGACCCCTTCAGTGCTCCCTTCCAGGATCGGACCAGGCAATCCTCTGTGTGACCGACCAACAAGGACCTGTTAGCCAACTTTCTACACTATCCCCCCCTCTCTCTCTCTCTCTCTCTCTCTCCACTTACCGGTAATCGTCCAAGAGGAATGTCATTGATTTTTCCCTCACGTTCCTCTTCTTCCTGCGGCCGCCACATAGGACTACGGGATTGGCGGTGCCGGATAAGCAGGTGAGGAACACTGTGGAGGTGGAGGCTATCACCATCGTCCTCGTGCTGGTACTGAAGGTGCCGAGGAATTTCTCCTTACCCTGTAGGTTGAGATGCTCCTTTACCAGCCCCTCTTCCCCTTGCTGTCCCAGCTGCGCTTCCGCTTGTATCGCCATCACCCAGGTCGTTGCCATGATCATCACCAGCAGCATCGTAGTAGCCCAGCCCTGCATCTGTGGGACACAAAGGCCAGACTCTCATATATTTGTACATTAAGAACTCTTCCCTAAACAACGGTTCCAAATCAAATGGTTCCTAGTTCCAAGAGGCCTCGTTCCTTCTGTGAGCACCGACCATTGGGATAGAGGTCCCCTGGGGTCGCGATCTATTTAGTAATGGATTCTGTAGAACTAGGGCAGACAGGGAACAAGTCTTAATAGGATTTGGCGCATATCCCATTGGTCATTATTCCATTTGCCAGACATTCCGCCATTAGATCAGTATAATGGAAAAATCCCGCCCTCTCGCGGTTCATTTTAGTTATGATTCCTTGTTGGGATTTTAGCCATACAAGCCCTTGAACAGTAAGCATCTCATCTAAGCGTGTGTGTGTGTGTGTGTGTGTATGTGTGTGTGTGTGTGTACTTTTGTGTGTGTGCGTACACTTTACCTTGTAACTGAAGACTCCACACTGATCATAGTCGCTGTTTATGTCTCTTTATATACACTCTCCCTCGCTGTGTTAGGAGGATAACCTTACTCTCTCTCTCTCTCTCGTCGGGGACAATATCCATCCAGATGGCTAGACAAACAGTGAGAGAGATATATCTACAAGAATAGAAGATGAGAATGACGGGTGAAGGCTTGAGAGATAACAGAAGGTAGAGATTTGGGTCACCGGCTGAGATATTAAGGTATTTGTCGGGTTGGCAAGCAGCGCCGCCATTGTTGATGTCGCAACCCAAGCACGGAAATTCTGTTTTCCTTCCTCCTTCTTCTCCTCCTTTCCTCCTCCTTCTCAGTCGTCCTACGTGTAGTGGGTTGCTTAGGTCTCTAGGTACACGAGAGCACAGAGTTTCACGTATAATTGTCTCCATGTCCTGATAACACGTACAGTACAAAGGATGGTACTTGGGTGACAGTGGTCCAGAATGCATTTACTGGAGGCTAAGATTATAACAGAAGGCATATGATGTAGTTTTGTCCAACACCTTGTCTTGGATTACGAAATTAACTCGTCAGCTGCTCTGGCCCTTCTCATGAAACATTTGAAAGCAGAAAGCAGGACTTAAAAAATTACAGAAAATGGGGTTTTACCATATATAATGAAATCCAGTACATTTTAAAGCAACTAACAGAGTTAATCTAAAAAATAAAAATTTTCGATTCTAGAAGCTTAATCACTAACTCAGTTATGACACGTGAGGGCAGGTTACCTGTATTATGAAGTAAATGAAGTTGTTAATTATAAAAACAAACAAATAAAATGCCTTTTACAATGAATTATCAAGACAATTTGCAAAAAAAACAAAACAGAATTTCTATGTATAATCGAGCTGGGTTATAGTCGAAAAACATCAACTCTGATTTAGATATCATCATACCAACCAATGTGTTCTATTGCTTCAAAACTTCAATTTTAACACAAAGTGAAAAACTGGTACCCAAACTTACAGCAAGTGGGTGCCTGACATTCAAAATTGCGCAAAATATGTTGTAAATCAATTACTAACACTTAACATAATTTCATGCTCTTGACCCCCAAAACTTTTATCATTTTGTTACAAAAAAGTAAAACTCCTTCGTTCTTAGTACTCTTACCGCAATAAAGTAATAAATATAGTTTAATCTCACAAGTCGTACACCAGTCTTAGGATATACTGTAGATAGATATACTGTAATTATATTCTTTGTAGTAATATCGTCCTATAAGTTCACATTAATTCAGCATGTATATAGACAATACAAATGCAGGTGTATAAACAATGTAAATGGTAAGGAAGTAGAAATGATCGTTAATTTTCCAACTCAAATAATTCTACGCTGCAGACTATATAGCCTCGTCGCTTTGTTGTGGTATATGAACGTCGGTGAAGGGACATCTAGGTGAAATTTCTTTGTTTTATATCAGTCTAGAAAATAAATGGACCACCAAACAAATAATTTATACTTGTAATAGAACGATACTTTCTCATACCAAACAAAAGAGGCTAATCTATTGCCATGTACAGTACAGTCCCCTTCACTAGTGCGTTTACAGGGGCTTGAAGGGGACTGTACCTATCCGCCGTGGGGAGGGGGGCGGGCTTTCCCGTGATAATGGTAAACAACCTGAAATACCTATTGGGATAAAAACGAATATTAACCTTGAGTGGTGAGGGGGAATGGTTGTGATGGTGTGTGGTGAAGGTGGTTGGTGATGAGAAATGCTAGTGGTGGTGTGAGTGAGACGGGTGGTGATGGAGGGTGTTGGTAGTGACGGTAGAGAGTGGTGGAGATGGAGGGTGGTAGCGGTTTTTTTTATGGAAACGAAGGGTGAAAGAAGATTAGAGGTGGGGGAAGGAAGTTATAGTTCGGAAATTGAAAATAATAGGGGGAGGTAAAAGAGGGCGGGCTGACCGCCTAGCTAAGATAATGGTGTGTTAGGGTTGTGTCATGGGTTAGTTATTATCTGTTGGTACAGGCACTAGACAGCCTACCCTGTCCCATATATGGGTGTTTTAAGGGCCTTATTTCACATTCCGCCGACCCTACTGGCGGATGCTGGTCTTGGGAGTTTGTCTATTGCCTGGCCGTGTAGATCGGGGGTGGTAATGGACCTTTAGAGATTTGGTAACTTTTTGGGAACCATGTATGGTTGTTATCGCTATCTGGTGAGAGTCTTTGAAGGAGTTCTTGCTCTGATCGTTCTATCTTTTGCCAGATTCTGCTGGCCAGGGTGTGCAGCTGCTGGTTGGTGGGTTTTATTCTCAGGTCTCTATGTATCTCGGCTGTGGTTCTGGTGAAGGGGTGTCTTTCACCTGTGACGAATCTTAGGGCTTCATTTTGGACCACCTGTAATTATAATATTTAAGTGGTGCTCATAGTATGAAGAGGTATTGCTGGGTAAATTAATATCGGTTTGATAAATGATGTCACCAGGCGGAGTTTTATTTTCTCAGGAAGCGCTTTAAAGCGGTATAGTTTTCTCAGTTCTCTTCTCGCCTTTTCCTTCCTTGTGTGGACATGATGGGAGTACCCTGTCGTGGATATATGCAGGCCCAGGAGGGTGCCTCTGCTTTTGTATTCTATCTGGGCATTATTGGTTACTAATGTGGTGGTGGTGGTGGTGGTAACGGGAGTAGGGGAGACTGGTACCAGGCTGAGACAGGCACAAGTAGTTCCCCCAGGTCAGCCTTGCGTGGCACAATATTTACGTTTCACCGTCTCCTCCTCCCTACCCCCTTTATCTCTCACCCCCTCTTCCTCCCCCAGTTTTTACCTCTAACCCCCCCTTCCTCCCCCTCTTTTTACCTGTCATCCCTCTTCCTCCCCTCCTTCCCCGTTTTACCTCTCACCTTCCCCTCCTCCCCCGATTTTACCCCTCCCCCCCCTTCCCGCCCACAGCCCGCCCAGTACGGATCACACAACAGACTCGTGACATTAAGCTACAGTTGCATTTTTCCATTGACTGTTTAATGTGTTTGAAAAAAAATAATCAAGTAGCTAAAGATATATTTTCAAATAGAAAAATATGAGTAAATAACATCTATCTATCTATCTATCTATCTATCTATCTGTTCATCTTTATTATGAACGAACTGCATGTTATCGACAGTTTTACTATTATCTCTAAAAAAATATTATGTTAAGGACGAAGACTTAACACACTGAGGATGATGTTATGCTAACCCGTTGACTACGATAGTTTAGCTCTTTGTGTGCGATAACTGAACCCTTGGAGTACGATAGCTGAACCATTGGAGTACGATAGCTGAACCATTGGAGTACGATAGCTGAACCCTTGGAGTACGATAGCTGAACCATTGGAGTACGATAACTTAATCCTTTCATCTTCGAAGTGTGAAGATGGTGTAAGTAGGAGTATGCGGGAAAATGGACATTGTTTTACAGTACTGTACAATTCCTGACTATTTCTTTATCAGTATGACTTAAGATATAACTGCATGACCAATAGATAAGGGAGACTCATACAGCTACTGAAGGATAAACATCTCTCTGTAAGTGAAGAGGAAGACATGTGGTTCCAGGGTGATTATATCCCTCCAAACGCCGCCATGTTCGAGAAAATAACAGGAGGGATTGTGAGGAAAATAAGCACTGAAGATACAGGGAGGGCCACCTCTTGTGGCCACCACCTACAAACTATGATGGTCAGTCGCCTCATCCTCTTGGAAAAAATCCAGGATGTTGTTACCCCGATCAATATTTTTCTTTGGGGTAATGTGAAGTCCAACGTGTACTCCACAAAGGTTGAGGACATTGTTCAGACGACGATAATGTTGGAACAGCACTTAATGGAAGGTGTCGGAGAGAGATAGAGAAAGATTTCATATTTTTCTTCAAATTTCCCGCGAGGAGGCTAGTTTATTGGGCACTTCCTTGCATCCTGTTTACAGCACCCAACAGGGAAGCATTGGGGCAAAGAGAGAGAGAGAGAGAGAGAGAAAGAGAGAGAGAGAGAGAGAGAGAGAGAGAGAGAGAGAGCAGGTCGGAGGAACTGACACGGGGTGGTACAGGTAGTCGTGTCTACCAGCGCCTCAGGCACTCCCTATCCCCTCCATCTTCACCACCTCCTCTACTCTCACCATCATCATCTCATCTACAGTTATATTAAGAATTATCTATACAGATGAGATCTCCATGAAATTCAGGATTAATCTTTTAACCGAAATTTTGGTTTTGAAAATGACAATAGGTTTATGATCCCCTTACGCCTGAGTCCTCCAAATATGCAATATGAAAGGGTTAAATTTACATCACCTGAGGATTAGCCACCAGCTTATTTCACCTGATGATTAAACACAATGCGTTACCTGGAAAGGCTAGGTTCGGTTAGGTTAAGTAGGTTAGGTGGATCTTATCAAAGGTTAAATACTCTAAACCTAACTTAACCTAATATAATATAACCTAACTAACCTAACCTGATCATTACTACTTTAGGAAAATTTCCCCTCGTTAAGTGTAGAGTTGACAGATGTGTGAGAGAAACACACTCTGATCACATCTCATCTCAAAGACTAAGTCTTTTAAAAGTCACCAGGCATTTTTTATTCAGATACATGTGTATGTTTTAGTTTAATTTAAAATATATTGAAAAAGTGATACATTGTAGGCAGGGAACTTGATTCTGAGCTCTGACTTCCATTAAACATTAATAAGATCTCTTATATACTCAAATTATAACCCAGTCTCTTCTGCGTGATAATTTTTTTCTATAATAATATCAGATTACAATACATCTAAACAATTGTACTGACTCCCTCAGCTTCATAATCACTAAAATTTTTCTCTTTCACTCTAGATTTTCGAATATGCCCGAAGAGCTCAGTGTTTGGGATCCTGAACCACTCAGACTTGATACTGGCGACTGAGCTTAATTTAATCCTAAGGGCCTCTGAGCTTAATGGTTTCGTCATATTAAGCCAAGACCTATTAGACCAAAAATCTATTCAACGTGTAACTCATTAATGCACAATAAG